AGAGAGAGAGAGAGAGAGAGAGAGAGAGAGAGAGAGAGAGAGAGAGAGAGAGAGAGAGAGAGAGAGAGAGAGCGGCTTAATGAAGCCGAAAGATCGCTCAAGTAAAAAGGACATGCACACCTTCTTTCTTTTGCAGGGTTTCTGCTGCTTTTTTGTAGGTGCCTGTTTCTGTTGTGCTTTTCTCTCTTCTCGCAGTCAATTTTGTCATCATCGGAAGAATGTAAAATGCGCCCTTTAGAGTTTAAATGAACCATAGGCACTTTTTACTTGAGTGATCTTTCCGCTTGAGCGACCACTGCACTATGTAACCAAGGTTTTTCAAATTTTCAATAACGAATTTAGAGTTTAAATGAACCATAGGCACTTTGTAAGTTTGTATATGATAATTTTTGTATCAGGATTTTTATTTATTTATTTTATTTTATTTTTATTTTATTTTATTTTTAATTGAAAAGTCACAAGTATTAAAGTATCATAAAATCGACCAGTTTGGACTTGGAGCTATGGTCCGCCCATTTGAATAATTGAATTTGGATTCATAGATGAAACTTCATGAAAGTGTAATTTTTAATATTTTTTTTATGAGAATACTATTACATGTCCTGTATAGTATATACTATTTTTTATGGAATTTTTATGCCTCTTTTATGGGTTTTCTTTTTTTTTTTGTAAACAATGATTGAAATTGCAATATGAAAATTTTAGTTGATGGAATTTTTATGCCTATTTTATGGGTTTTCTTTTTTTTTTTTGTAAACAATGATTGAAATTGAAATATGAAAATTTTAGTTGTTGAATTAAGTCTGAATGACTCCGCATTTCTGAAATGATTCATGTTCATTTGCCTGCTGGGATTCGATCCCAGACCCTCATGTGCCTGACTGTGCGTTTCCCCTTGACTGAGCATGCCGAGATTTGAACCTGGGACGTTACCTGGGATTGTTCTATAAGAGATTAGGCATTTTGTGTTGAGCCTTGATCCGACGACCTGCACCTGCACAAACTCATAGTGAAGCCCTTTGTACCATTCATAGGCCATCAAGAAAGGTAGGGCGTCCGGCAGGTTGCATGGCACAACACTGGCCAGGCCTCGCCAGAACGGTACCAGTACCCAAGATCAAGTAACAAAGTTTGAAGCTGAAAGGAGTGGAGATGAAAGCGTTGACAATCACACTGAGGAAAAGTCACACATTCAAAAAATCACTCGTATTTCACAGTCAGGTGCATGCACAGCATGACACAAGAAGAGGAAGACATAGTAGCTGCCGTGCAAGGAAATACTGTGTGTGGGCCATCCACAAGGGTCATAAGTGCAAAAACAGGCTCGGATGTAGTGGTGGTCTTGAAAGGGATTGGGTCACAAACGCACCGTTTGCTCATTTTGACATTTTGTTTTCCAGAGAGAACTCTCCCTCCTAACTAAGTTGGTCGTGCGGTGAATGTGCAGAGGTGTAGGGGTGGCCATCCACAAGCATGACTTCTCTCACCGTTCTCCTCCTGTTCTGTTCCTTCTGTTTCTGCAGGCAAAATCCTGCCTTGGATGCACTTCATGATGATCTGACTGCGGTAGATAAAGGAGTTGGACATGCAAACACGCGGCTGAGGTATCTGGTCCGAAGATGAGGTATGTGCATTCGTTATGCGGAAGGGCAAGGTGACAGAAAAATTTGCCCTGGAGGCACGACTTGCATATAAACTGCGCTGAGGAAGGAGGCTGCAAATTCATTTGATCTCTACTGAAGCGGGGTAGGGGGGGCAGAGGAGCAGAGGACAGGGGAAGGGTGGGTGGACGGGGCGGGGGACGGCTGGACCGAAGCAAACGGAACAAGAAAACAAAATAAAAAGAAAGGACAAAAGATGGTGAGGACAATGACAATTTACGGAATGCTGGAACCGGTTTCCTTAATCGTACTGAATGACGTTCAATTGTCAAACATGGCTATCTTCTCTTTCTTCTTTGGTCCGTCGCCATTGAAATACAAAGGCCCTTTAGGGTCCAAATTTCCCTTGTTGTACTAAATTACTTACAGAGGTATGCATACACTCTAGGAATACCTCAGGGAGGCAGAGGAGGAGAGGACATGGGAAGAGTACGCCGGTGTGGACAGAAGAAAACAGACGGTGACGAGAATGACAATTGATGGGATGCGGGAACCAGTTTCCATCACCAAGACTGTCGTACTGAATGATGTTCGATGGGACACTGGGCCCAGTTTCCAGCAGGTGTGACTCCCCGTCAATGGATCGGAGTATGCTAGTCGATGTGTGTGTTGAGATAAACAGAGCCCCGCAAACGCGGCGAGCAGCGTAACAGGGCATGCATACACGTTTGCCTAAGAAAAAAGACAACACTTTTGCACAGAACAATCCATACAACAGGAGAAATCAAAGCACCCCTAATATGGGTGAGACAAAGCTCTGAACAGGACGACAAGAAGCAGTAAGGCAAAAAGACAACAAGGCAGGCAACAAACCAAAAAACAAAAGCGAAAAAAATAAAAACTGATGATAGATTGTTTCGTCGGAATTGCACCGACTCATCAGGAGGCTGAACCCTCGACAATCTACGGAGTACCGGTTTTGGATGTTTTGGGTCATGAACCCTTTGACCCTTGTTGAAGGCAGATTGCCCACAAGCGGAACATAGCAGCGAGCGGCACCCGTGTGAAGCACCAGGCAACACACCCGAAGCCACTCAACCGCACAACACCAAAGACAACTGCAAGGAACAACACGTCCAACGGCGGACGGCAGCAAGAAAACAACCCTGCGAAGCACCAGGCGACGCACCAGAAGTCACTCAACTGCAGAACGACGCGGACGGCTGCAAGGAACAACACCGCAAGTGGAGGCACAGCACAGCGCCCGTGTAATGAAGCACAAGGCATCAACCACACGACCACCACACTACACGACACACAAGCAAGGAACCCAAAAGGCATGACACATGAATGGACAGCTTGGAAGCAGCGCGGCGAAGCACAAGGCAACACGACTACCACAACCAGACTGCACATCGAACGTAACAGCACACAACGAACAGCACATGACCCAAGCGGGATAGGCAGCACGGCAACGGTGACACACAGACAGCACAAGGCAGCCCACACATCCAACACGGAGCAATGCAGCACATGACCTACTCACATCACAGGTGAACACCGCAGACTGTTGGTTCCCACCACCCAATGAGCCAGGGAGTCACTCCGCCGAATATCCGTCATCACCGACAGGCAACACAGACGCCCCGAACCGAGCAGCCCCCCTAAGAGTGCAGTTGGCACTCCAAACGAGGGACCACCGACTGTTTGGCACTACTTAAGGGTGCTCAGTTGGGCATACAAAAGAAACAAAAAATCACAGGAAGAACAGAGAACAGAGAAAAAGACTGAAAAACATAAAACTGATTGTGTGTGTGTGTGTGTGTGTGTGTGTGTGTGTGTGTGTGTGTGTGTGTGTGNGTGTGTGTGTGTGTGTGTGTGTACCCATTGAATCATGCTGACCGTGGAATAACGATCAAGATTTTCAAGTACACACGCACAAAGCTGCAGGACGTATTAGGCGTTGCCCGTCATCTCCAAAAAAAAAAAAAAAAAAAAAAAAGCTGCAGGACGTATTAGGCGTTGCCCGTCATCTCCACCAAAAAAAAAAAAAAAAAAAAAAGCTGCAGGACGTATTAGGCGTGTTACCATCACAGAAATTGGATGTCTTTACAAGATAGTGCTGCACAGCATGCAACCATCCACCCTTATGCCTATCTTTGCTCGAGTGATATGTGTCTCCAGCGGGCACTTTCGTGGGTACTTTTCGCGGAACTTCACCAAAGAGCATGCAAACTCTCCCATGCTCTCAAGGATTGCGCTCCTTTGGAGCAGTAAGATATTTGGAGCTCCTCTTTGAAATTTGAATCCTTCCTGGAAAATGTACAGGCGGCCGCCGGCCGCTCAGAGATCGCATCCAGGCTCGTACAATTGCTGCGATTTTTTTTTTTTTTTTTTTTTTTTTTTTTTTTTTGAGATGATGCTGCGATCTTAGTTGTGAAGTTAGGCAGGGAAGTAAAGATGGAGGATCATGCAGCAGTCTATCTTGTTTTGGCCTACATGTCACACCTGTGCTTTACGATTTTTTGCGCCATAGTGCGCATCCAAATTGACCATCTGCAAGTGACAAAAGAACCCCCACTCTGTGCCAAAACAATGTACCGTTCTGGACAGTCGCCATGCACTGTTCGGCTGCTGTTACCCTATTCGACATTGCGCGTCAGCAGCAGTTCTTCCAGGTTAATCAGACTAGCAATGCCCGTCTGTCCGTTGAGAGGACAAGCAATGTCACGGTGGCTAAATGGTACACACACATGTAATATATGTTCGCAAAGTAAACAGATCATGACCTCAAATCCTGATGGAACGACGTGAATATGCAGTATGTTAGAAGGATTAGCTGCTACCGACTTCACCCGAATAGAACGCCCGGTCATTATAGCTGTATTTGGCACAACTGTCAGCCCAGATACGGCAATAATTACCGGGCGTTCTATTCGGGTGAAGACCGTAGTAATGGCTTCAGTGCCACCCAGCTGTCATCTGCCTCCTCTACTGAATCGACCATATCCCCCTCTCGCACCCTTGGGGAAATGGTATCTGTTAAGAAAGGGCTTTCATTTGTTCCTGCTTTGCATGTGAATGATGCATTAGTCCAGGGCCTCCAGGCAAATCGACCCACACTACTAGGACCGAAATTGGAATACGGGAAAGGACCCAAAAAAAGGTGGATTTTTTCGATTTTTTTTTTTTGTGTGTGTGTGTGTGTGGATATGTTATGGTTATGGCTGCGGTCTACTTTGTGGCAGCTTCGTTTTACCACGGTTCTAGCATGTCGCTTATACACATTCGAAAGGATGATCGTGAAGAGGACCCAGTGTTCTCTACGAAGTCCTTCATCAAAGGCGTCCTTCATCAAAGGCACAACATACCTCTTTTTTCCCGCAAAATTTGGACCATTTCTTGATTTATGCGTGTCATCCTTGTGCAGGGGCCATGCTAATCTTCTTTCTCTTTATCGTTCCAATTTTCCACGGATGTCCCGAAGGACAGCAGGCATAACATGCTACTACGCATGGACTAAGCGGCAACTTGTTTTTTTTCTTTTTTTTTCTTTCTTAATTTGGACCGTTTTTTATTTATGCGTGTCATCCTTGCGCAGGGGCCATGCTGATCTTGTCTAGGTTCTCTGTATCGTTCCAATCCTTTGAACGGATGATGTTGCCAAGGACACTTTTAACCTGAGTTTATGCAGACGGCAGTCTTCCCTGCTAACCTGTTCATCATCCAAGGCGTAACACGACGGCCGATGTATAGCAGTTTTGAAATGTGGATTTCTGCCAACCTACCCCACCAGCTGTCCACCACCAGGAGTATGTTGAGTGTCCGTCCAAAGTTTGAACGCGGTTAAGTGTGAAGTTTGGTGTTCGAACCTATAAGCTTGAAGACCGGAGTTTTTCACAACTTTTCAGCCTAAGTTTTTTTCAGTCCATGACTTTGAAGTTTGAAAGTTTGAAATTTGAAAGTCGTTGAAGTCCAAAGTTTCAGCTTAAGGTACGATGCCAGCTGTCCAGGAGTATGTTGAAAATTCTAAGTTTGAACTTTGAAGTTTGAAATTTTCTGAGTTTTGAATTTTGAATTTTGAAGTCTGAAGTTTTTGAAGTTTTTGAAATTTTGAAATTTTGAAATTTTGAAATCTGAGTTTTGACTTTTGACTTTTGAAATTTTGAAATCTGAGTTTTGAATTTTGAATTTTGAAGTTTGAAATGTTGAAATCTGAGTTTTGAATTTTTGAAGTTTGAACTTTGAAGTCTGAAATTTTAGAAATCTGAGTTTTGAATTTTGAAGTTTGATGTTTGATGTTTGATGTTTAGGGTTTGGGGCTGGAACTAGTGTTCACAGATGCTTTTTTTTTTTTTTTAATTCTTACTGCTTATGGTAGTCAAATTAAGTCAATGTATTGTGCGACACACCTTCATGTGCATCGAGTTGTGTGCGCAAGGAACTTGATGTTATGAAGCGTTCTTCTTCTTTCTTCGATCATGCCTGTGCGAGGAAGATGTGCTGGCGGGGGAAAAAAATAAAAAAGAAGAGGAAGATGCACAGGTGCAGTGATTGGGATTGCGTTGCTTCCAGTAGGCGTCTAGTAGGCACGGCTTGAGATAGTACTTAACACGAAGTTAGGAGAAAAAGGGCAACCTGTAGAAGATAGGCTTGGGCATGGCGATCCATTCGGGAAACCAAATGCCTGGCCTGTGTTCTAAAGGATGGCGATCTATTCGGATGGACAAACAAATGGCTGAGTTCCAGAGGACCCTTTGAAGTCTAAATCCAACCTCGACAACAACGTGTTGCAATATGCCACTGGGGTAAGTATCTGACGATTCTGAGAATTGTCGGTTGGGTTTAAGGGGGCGCATAGAACCGTAGAATCGTGTAGGAGGTGGTGAAAGTGATACTAGCAGTTTTTTGCAATCTTGTTGTTCCAGGTAAGAAAGCAAAAGAACAAAAAGAAAACAAAAAAAAAACAAAAAAAAAAGGGATCTGTGTTTGAGTTTACTAGGAAGTGCATCAATTAGAATCTTCTTGAATCGTCCTTCGAGACGTCCTCCGTTAAAATTGGAACGATCCATAGCATACATGTGGCGCATCGACATGCGCTGCACC